AGCAGGGCCCTGGTTTGGATCCCACATGAGGGCCAGTGACGCTGCGCCCTCTACAGCTAAGATGGTGAACAACAGCTTGACCTGGAGCTGGACTGCCATGAGTCCACGGCAACTGCATAGGCTGCAGCCCCTGCTGCAGTGGGCTGCCATAAGCTACTTTGTGTGGCCGGCAGCCAGTGTGAGCAGCCGGCAGCTGATGTGAGCTGCCAAGAGCCACTGTGAGCGGCCATCCAGAGGCCGGCGACCGATCTGCCTCACCCGGGAAGAATGCATTCATAATACCAACATGGGCCAGTGAAGCGACGTCCTCCACAACTAGACTGAAGAACAAAAAGACAGCAACTTGTCTGTTCCCTTCCCCCGATTCCCCAGCGCTGTTCCCCTCCCCCAATTCCCCAATAAAATCTTAAAAAAAAGAAAATGGCATATTATATAGCTATTAAAAATGATGACATAGATCTGTTTACCAACGTGGAAAGATACAATAACTGCAATATACTGTTCAGGGCCTTGCTTTTTTGCCCTTAACAACATATATTGTATGATATTATTTTCAGTAAGACTGTATACAATTTTATAAGCATGGAGAAATGTTAAAAAGGAAATTTACCCAAATGTTGGAAGCGATTATTTCTGAGTTATAGGATTATTTTACTTTTTTCTTTGTATTTTTTTCTGTTTTAGTTGCAACTGTTACATAAGTGTCATTTGTATTTTAAAAAATTAAATGCTATATTCACTATGTTGTTTTGTATACATGGAACTAATAAAAATGCTATACAGACTTAAATGCTATATAGAAATCTACTAATGTGGAAATATTTTACAACATATTACTGTTTTTTTAAAAAGTACTCAAAAGTATGGTCTGTTATACTCCCAATATTATTAAAAAAACATATTTAAAAATATATATTTATTTTATACAAACTAAATATATATTTACTTACATATTTGTTTATGTAATATATTATTATACAGTATATATAAATATTCATATATATACACACATACACACAAAAGGACATGGATTGGACTATTGTTTAACTCTGAATGAATAGAATAGTGAATACTATAAATGTTTCTTTTGCTTATCTCAAATTTCTTGTTTTTCTGTGAACCATATGGATTGCTTTCTATGTATTAAAAAATAAAAAGAACTTCAAAAAGGAAAATGCATAAAACAAATTATAGATAGCAAATCTCAAACATATGAAAATAAATCCATAGGGGAAAAAAGTGTTACTGAAATTAATATAAGGGCAGATTGAGGGAGCTGGCCCTTCCTCCTGGACTGATAATTTTTAGACATACCATATACATTAGGTAATCTGCCCACCTGTCTTCAATGCAGTGTCAACATATCCCTCATAGAGCTGCCTCTGTGCGAGTATAAAGAAGTGGTAAGCCTCGGCCCCTCTCCAAGCGTTATCTGTGAAACGACTAGTTGTAGACACAACTTCTTCTTCCAGCAAACCGGCCAAAGCAGAAGTGGCCTAGAAGTAAAGGAGACCACGTTTTCTGTCAGCACAACTGTTATATAACAATGGTCCTTTCAATGAAGACAGCTTCTGAAATTGCTATGCATTAAAATATGTAAGTTAGCAGATTTAATCATTACAAAACTGTCACTACAGACTTAATTTCTACATTATAATTTATATGTTTTCTTCAGTTTTACTGAGGTACAAATGACAAACAAAATTGTTAAGATAGTTAAAGTGTACCTCGTGGCAATTTGCTATATGTGTACATCATGAAGGGCTTCTCGCCCTGGTATGACCAAGTTTCAAAACAGAATTGATTAAACTTTAAGTTACTAAGAGATTCATTTTCACATTAAAATCATATACATATTCTAGGCAAATTTCTAGAACTCACTGTTTAGAAAGGATTTATTAAGTGAGGAAGTAAAGTGAAGACTAGAGATTGGTCTTTTAGAAAAAATAATTTTCAATATTTCCAAGTAGAAATTTCTAAAATTTGATTACTAATTTCAAATCAGTCAGTCATTCCTTTTCCTCATACCATTAAGAAAACAAATGTAAATAAACAAATTAAATGGCCTGTCCATAAAAAGAAGTTTGATAGTTTTTTCCTTAAACACTTCAGATGATTCAGCATTATTTAATGTTCTACCTTACCTCCGAACTCTTTCCTTTAACTTTTCCTCGTTGGGCATTTTTCATTTGTTCATGGTACTTCTCTATAAGTAAAGCTGATAGTACATAGAGCTTCTTAACACGTAAAGGTTTAGTTCTTTTCTTTGCCTCTTCGTCTGCAATCTTTAAAGATTTGAAGAATTGGGGGAAGATATTTCTTAATCTATATGTGTACAAATATAATCATTTATGAAATTTGATTCTCTAAAAAAAGGAGAAAAGCCAGTAGGATGAAATAAAAATACCAGCCACTTATGATAAATATTTTAAAACCCATTTTCTTTTCCTTAGTATTAATAAGTACTTAGTTCTTTCTTGGTATTTAGTACTTGGAGTTAGAACTCATAACAATCTTAGAAAACAACAGATGCTGTCAAATAAATCAGAATGAAGAAAGCTTTCATGAAATGGGTAATATTTTCCATAACAAAGAGATTTTTAAAATAATGCTCCAAGTACATAGAGATAAAGTGGCTTTAACATGGTACATCCTCCAGATAGTTTAATTTATTTCAATGTGAGGGAAAATTTTCCTTTTTCATTAAATCAAATGGGAAAAGAACAGAATAGAATGTAAAATGTGCAGACATTAATACTGTACTAGTCATCCTCTTGCCAAATGCATATTATGAAAAGTTCAACGTCTTTAAAATGTACATTTAAAAGGACTCAAAACTAGATTATCAACAGGGTTTAATTCCCAGTTACAGGAGTTTGTACTTTACGGTCCCTAAAAATTCTATAATTCTTTGTTAATGTCAGTATTAAGTAAATATATCATTGTTTAGGTATTAATAGGTATTAATATTAATAAATAGCCTCGTTAGTAAAAGGTAATAATACTAACACATAGTTATAGTACTAGTAAAACCAGAGGGGTTTGCTATAACAAATATTTGTTTCCAAAGAAAATATGTGCTTTAGTATGTAAGAAAACATTGGTGACTAGAACAAACCAAATACTCACCAAGAATATTACATTACCTTAAACATCAGTTTAGCAGCATCATAAAAGTAATTGGCTTTCCGATAGAGTTCTATGGCATCAAGAGTTTTATTCTTTTCCAATAAATGAGATGCATACCTCGCTAACAGGGATCCAATTTCTTTCATACTATGATTTTTAGCCAATTCAACAGCTTTGTTCCACTGAGGGGAAAAAATATACCATGCAGCTACCCAAGCATTTAGAGTCATATATGTCATAAAATTCACACAATAAAGCTTTAAGTTTATATTAATAAATATACTATATTAATTAAAAACTGGCATGTTTTTAAAAATCACATTAAAATAAGCAATTATAAATTTTATAAGTTAAACATGTATCAGAATGATTAAATGATCTAAGACTGCTTTGCTTAAGAAGTACGTCTGAAAAGGAAAGCTTCAGAGTTTATAATCACATTAATCTTACAATTCTCATTTTGCACACACTGTGAACAAGAAAAAGATATATTTATAGTAAAACAAAACATGCACTTTCAGTTAAGAAAATGTCCTATCGGATTTAACATTTAAAAGTTATTTTTATAAAGCAAGTGGAGCTTTATAAAATACTTTAAGAAAATACTTAAAAGAATACATTGATAGTCAACAATTTCAATATCAATTCTGTATTTTAGTTAAATTTCAGCCCTTAAAAATATCAAGTATACGTTTTCTATAAAGGGAAAGGAATACAGAATTTCCAAAATAAATATTGATAAAGTAACTCAATTCTTTCCTCTTGCAATGACCATTACTTGGTCCTTCTTTGGAAACAAAACCCAAAAATACAGAACATTATGAAATTACTTACAGACAAAAACTTGCCAGACAAAAACTTATGAACACTGACATAAATTAAAAAGCACGGGTTTATTCATGTTCCCATATTGAGTTAGCTGTGACTGGGTCATCCCTGACAGTGGCACTTCAAGAGGTAAATGTAAACTCCAATATTTTCTCAGTCCTCAACGAAGTAAGAGACTACCTGGCTCCTTTGACGAAATTCGTCTCAAGCTCTCTAACCCTTATAATGGCAACAGTCTATACAGGATGACTGTGGAGACTTTAATTTTCAGTTCCTTACTTGGTTGAGATGCACACAGGTATCTACGGCTGCCTTTGGTTGATTACATTTCAAAAATGCAGTCACTGCTTGTTCACACATTCCAACTCTCACAAACATTTGTGCTATTTCCTGTAAGGATAAAACAATACTATCAGATTTCACATACCAAGGCAATCGCTTATATTTTAATTTACAAAACTCCATGGGGACAAATTAGTGTTAAATTTACTGGTGGTTACAGTAATTTTTCATTTAAACAGACACAGGGACAGAGGCTACAAACCAGAACGGGTGCCATGGCATCACCTTCTGTAAAACCAGGGCTTCCCTGGCTCAGGTGGGGATCTGGTTAACTAGATCCTGAATATACTGCACTCTGTTCTCTCAGTTCAGTAGCTGGTTTACAGAAACGTCAGGCTCTAAGAAACCCCACACTGGTGGGTAAGAACACCTTTAAGGCAATAAATGGTATAATCTAAGGTAATTGTTAATTTGAGGCTTAAGGGAAATCTCACATGCACAGAGCTCTCAAATTTCTCTCTAAAGAATGCCCCAAATTGGCCATTCATTGGGTCACGAAGCTGAGCCCCAAACAAAACTCCCAAACAAAACTCCCTCAGAGGGTGTTGGCAAGGAGGGAGCCACAGCAGAAACCCTCACAGCCATTTCGCTGTACTCTCCATCTCCATAAAATCATTTTTTTTAATTTCTGAATATCTAACTGGCCAAAGATTTTTCTCTCCCCAATCCCACTCTAAAGTACTTTGGGTAATATCACAAAAGTACATTTTCTATCCAACTATCTTTTCAAAAGTAATGCTTACGTTTTTCTGATTATAAAGTAATACATTCTTATGGTTACAAAATTAGAATACACAAAAATGCAGTTACTCATAATCTTACTATCCATAGGAGACGTCTCTCAATAGTCTGGTATAATTTCCTAATATCTTTGTCCTATGAATATATACGTGTGTGAGGTGGTGTATATATTGTGATCATACTATATACAGTTTTGTATCCTGCATTTCCCACTTAAATATTATGTCCATTTTCCCATACTACTAAAAACTCCAAAACTTGATTTAAAATTTGCAATACTACTTAAAATTTTTAATTATTTAATTATTATGATAGCTATAATTACTATTTACTCTGTAATATCACTATTCTAGATACGCTACAGCAATATTTTTCTGCATCATCAGACACCCCTAACAGACAACACTTGTGTGGGATACACTGTCCCTATCTATACCCAGGATAATAAGTAATTTCAGTTTCTTTCCCACTCAAGAAAACACATAGAATTGAGAATGCAGGCGCATGAAATGCCATTATTACAGGGATAGCAGCTCTCATTCACAGTAGGGAAAGCTGAATCATGAGAACTTTATACTCATCTATTAATTAATACACAACATTTTTGTGGCAGAACTCACAACTGAGATCATCCACACCTTGCAGCTGAGTGCGGCTAACTCTGCAGGTATTACACAGCTCCGTGATTTACATTTTAGATAAAACAAATAAAATACAAACTCATTAGCATCACTCAACAATTAATTAAGAGGCTTAACAAGAACATTCAAAACAAAGTTCCAGAGAACTCTGCTTTTAGTTTCTCTTTCTTAACATTAAATACTTTATTGTTACTATAGCCTAATGAAAGTCAAGCTATCTTTTTTAATTTTGCTGTAGAAAATTTCAGACATACATGCGCACACACACTAATCCACAGACCTAGCCTGGATTATTCCGAAGCAAATCTCCGACAACATGTCATTTCATCTGTAAATACTTCATGTGTTCAGCTAAAGTTTAAAAGCGATTTTATAAAACTGCAAGAGTACACAAAACTATGATTCTGCTAAAGTAGTAGGAATATGACTAATTTTCCCTCCATTTTCAAGTATTCTGCCATATTGATATACTGTTCTAACAATGAAAAGCATCATTCCTTGTCTAAGAAACTATAAGATTATAGATTTTAAATTTTCTTTGTTACAGAGGATGTTTCCTGATTATACCACAAAAACCTTATAAAGTAACCTAACAACCTCAAAAACTAAAATTTCCAATACCTACTGGAAGCAACTTGTGGTTTTCCGGAAGCGAACTGGCAAGATTCTCCAACCCCTCAAAATCTTCTAACATATAATAACATTCAGCTAAGCGTTCCTGGTTTCGGCCTTGTACATAATATTGTACAGCATTCAGCCTACGGGGGAGAAAAAATAAAACTTTTTAAACTAATGTGAATCTCCTGATAAATAAGCGCTTTCACCAAAAACTATTCCTTCATTAGAATTACTACTACTGCTGCAGTCATCATCTAGTTACAGAATGTCTTTGAAGCATATAGATGGGGGGTGGGGAACCACCTAAAGACTGTGAAGCATATTTTAGCTACAACATTCTTCGAATATTCTTAATATTGTTTTAATTTGATACACAAGTTGTACTTCCAAACACTGCCATAAATTAAAAAGCATATTGATCCTAATGAAAACTTAAAAATAAAAGCCAATGATTTCTGAAAATAATCTATAATAAAATACTTTTTCGGAAATAAATCACATAATGTCTTAGAATTGCACACTGTGGTCTCAAACAGCAAAGAGCCGCCTGGAACTAGGCACACGTTCTGTGAGTCTGGAAGCCTGAAGTTGCACAGTGCTTATCTAACAACTCTGCGGATCTCATGGTCCCCCAGCGTAAAGCTAGAGCTGTCTGAAGCTTAGGACCCAGGGGGATGGTCTTCATTTCCCTTGCATTATTTCATAGGTCAGTCCTCAGGCCGCCACATTTTAAGTGCTGGCGAATGAAGGTGGTCCAGACAGGTTACCTACCACTTTTGTCGATCAGCAAAGTAGTCTCCGACGGCATTGTGGGCTTGCTCAAGAAGACTGTCATCTGCATCACCAGACCCAGTCTTCAGGAGCTGCAGTACTCTAAACCAATCTCCCAGTTTCTGCCGGAGGCCAATTGCAAGATCTCTACAAACAATGGCATTCATTCATTCATGTATTCATTCATTTGACAAAGGTTTATCAAGTGCCTCCTATGTGCTAGGTTCAGTTCTAGGGTACTGAGGATACAACAGCAGTGAGCAGACAGAAGTAAGTCTCCAAACGTTTTAGAAACTTACACTGATGAGGTAAGAGGCCACAGGGGAGAAGCTGGAATAGGGAACAAGAAACAACTTCCTGCCTTTTATTGTCCTGGACTTCCAATTTCCTTAGCAAAATAATGATTTAAATAAGAATCACTTCTTTTCATCAGTTTCTGAGACATGATCAGGCTTATTTAAGAACCAAACAGCCAGCAGAGTGGCTCAGTTGATTAAGAGCTCACTCAAGAGTGCGAGCTCTGAGCAACAGGGTTGCTGGTTCGATTCCCGGCCGAGCTGAGCTGCCAAGAGGTTGGCAGGATGGCTAAGCTAAAAAAAAAAAAACCAAACACATAAACACATGTTTGGTTTTAGCTTTCGTTTCAGGGCTTAAGTTGTACTAAAGATCTTCTATAAGTACAAGTAATATTTTTAAAAAATAGACATGTTTACAGCTGATGAGAATTTTATACATTATCTAAATCTAAAATGAAATATAAAGAATAAAACTCAGTCCCTAAATATGTTTGACTTTGATTTCATGCTCCTTGACAACAGAAAATTAAATAATGGCCTAAACCAAAATTATTTGGGAAGAACCCAAATAATGAGCTGTGTAATAAATGATAAAAGTCCCGAGTTTTTGTACTCATATGATTTTTTTTTTCCTACCAAGGGAAAAAAATTTCTCATGGCCAGCCAGTAATATATGTAAAAACTGAGAAGAAAATTGCCCCCCAATTACAAAATATAAACTAATGAGGGGCATGTGGAATATCTAGGTTGTAATCCAAACTTGAAATTACTTTCTAAAAGAAATGGTATGATACAGTTAGTCTACTTTACATTCCTCGTTCGTTAAAAAAAAATAAAAATCATGAGCCCTGGAAGTGCTCCAGGATGCCTGCACCCTCATTACTTACCGTCTGTCCATATCAAGATACATTCTTTCAGCCTCTTCGAACCTGCCAAAGTAGGCAGCCACTTCCGCCTGCTTCATGGACTCACTCTGCAGGTTGCCCAGGCACTTCACAAACTTAATGCCTTGGTAGTCTTTGCAGCGCACAAATGCTTGCTCTGCAGTGTGCAAATCCAGTTTCTGAAGAGCTGCTTCAGCCAGTAGGCGCCTTTGTAAAAAGGAATCAGAAAAGCCTGTTGCAAATTACTGGTACACAAAACTGGAACCAGAATTCAACTATTGGGTTGTCGGAAAAGTCACAACGAGTTTTTTCTACATTTTTCGTTGCAAAAATGCGTCATGACTTTTCCGACAACCCAATATTATACTTATGGCTTCAAGTGAAACGTGGTGGAAAGTGATTATTTTAACACGTTTATACATGTTTCAATTAATATTGTGCTCATTTTGAGCACTTCGAAATCTAAAATGAATTTCTATATCTTAGAAAGAAGAGCGAGAGAGGAAGTCTATCCCCATGGAGACTAGCCTGAGAGCAGGGACGGCAGAGCATGCACCAGACACGTGGGGGAGATTTTTGTGGTTTTAAATACCAAAGTCGGGGGTGTGGATTGTCCTCTATGAATTGAGATGCATCTTCAATTCCAACTTTCTCAATCAATGCTCGACTATCTCGCAGGGACCGGATCTCAAAGTTAATCATACAATCCTTGTTTGGATGTTCTGGACTCTAATAGTAAAGGTGAAAAGAAAAAAGGAATTCAAAAGTTGCCTTTAGAGTATGTGTTTCTTTTTTATAGTTAAAAAAACCCATATTCTGTTGTAAGGAAAGCCAGGAAGAAAAGAAATGCCCATGTGTGGGTCTGTTGAGTTATCTGGGAAAAAACACCCACCCGTGAAGTCTCTCCTGGGGCTCTCAGGCTGCTTTTGGGGACGAGGGGACAGTGGTTGAAGGGGTCCCTTAAGTAATGCAGCCTTGTTTCCCTCAGTTCAATGGTCTGTTCCCCAAGCACTGCTCTCTTCTCACCCAAAGTGCTGAGGCCTCCACCAGAGCAGAAAGCATGGGCGCAAGGCCTGTACACCTCACTCTTTCATCCCTGACAGGGGCGATGAAACTATAGCTCCATGTGCTGTTGGGCAGCAATCAAACAAAAGAAAAGGGGCTAGTTTTCATCACCGCTTTCCTTTTGTAATTTAGCAGGCTGAGCAAAAAAAGAACTGAAAGCCAGCCTTACAGGACACAACTATATAGTGTTCAAAGAAAGGAAACCAGCAGTTATAATGAACTCACCAATATTCTACATTCCAAGTAGTGAAAAAGTGAAGCATACAAGAAAAGCCCCCATGTATAAAACAGCAATGGCCCCCAGAGAGCAGAGCTCTCCAAAAAGGTGAATTGAGCCCCAAACACCCCCTGCTCACCATGATGATACTACTACACCTCTGTATCTAGAAACTGACAAGCTCTTAGGGAACTCCTGGGCACAAAGTAAGAAGTAGTATGGAAAGAACATGAGGTTGGAATTCAGACAGACCTAAGCTCAAATCCTAATTCCATCATTTGCTGGCTATGTGACAACTCTTTCTAGAACCTGCCCTACCTTCCCCTCTGCCCACCCAAGAAGCCAAAACCACCTTCCCATAATATAAACCCCATGATGTCACTCTCCTGCGTTACTCCCCCACCGACTCCAGGATGAAGTCCAAATTCCACAGCAGGGCATACAAGATCCCTTATGACCTGGGCCCTTCTCGCCCATTACTTCTCCCCTTCCTTATTTCTGCCCATGCTACCAATTAAACACAGCAGCTTTGAAGCCAGGCAGCCCCAAGTCAAATCATGTCTTTGCCTACTGCTCACTGGGTGTCACTGGCAAGCTAGTTTGTCTCTAAGCCTCAGAGCTGAACAACTGGAGATCACAGTCAAACTTACTTCCTAGAGTTGCAAGGATTAAATAAGACATCACGTGTCAAACATTTAGCACATGGCCTCGCTGTGCTACTCACAGTATTCAGTCTCAGAACTGACCCAGGGCTCTTTTGCTTCAGACCTTTGAAGAGATACACCCACCGAGTGAACTAGAGCAGGCCCAACCCTGTCCTGGTTGCTCAATTTCTTGTTTATCTCCCCAACTCTTCTACTTGAGGCCAAGAACTGTGTCTTACTGTCAATAAACATTTGCTGAGCCGATGAACAGATGAACTTTGGGTAAAACATTTTACCCACTAAGAGCCTTCTACATCTAAAATGAGGTCTATGTAACATCTACCAGGCACGGTTATAATGACAAATGAACAATATATGTAATGACAAATGAAAGATGTACACCTTATATGAAGGTACTTTAGTAAACGTTAATTCCCTTCCTTTTCCTTTTGTATTCTTTCTTCTCTAGTTTTCAAGAAAATGTATCATGTTGTTTCTTTTTTTTCCTGATTTATTGAGATATAATTGACATATAACATTGTATTAGGGTTAGGTGTACAACACTCATGTTATTTCATAAAGCTATATGCTTGAAGGAATCTACAGTTCAGCTAAATATTTCCTGAGTCAACAAGGCTTCCCCCGCGACAGGGAAATAAAGTATGACAACATTCTTTTCTTTATGGCTTTGCATGTAGTAAGTCAGATAAATAACAAAACTATCACAGAGAATTTGGTTTCTCTTACAGTTTTACATCCCCTGCTGGTAAACCAAGCAACGGTACTGTAGATATTCTTTATCCTAATATTAGATATACATAAAATGTGCCCAGTGTATCAAGAATCTCAAAGTACAGTTACCCAATTTAAATACGTATATTTTAAACCCAGATACACCTGACTCCTCAATCCACACTCCTACCTGGACACCACACTGCCAGGTGCAAAAATGAATCCCAGTCAAGCCAGCAACAGAAATATAATTTTTTTTTAAGAATTACCTTTAAGGGCCGGCCAAGTGGGTGAGTTGGTTAAGAGCTTGCTCAAGAGTGCAAGCACTGAGCAACAGGGCCGCCAGTTCAATTCCCACATGGGCCAGTGACACTGCGCCCGAGCTGAGCTGTCGCTGAGCTGCCAACAGGTGGCAGGATGGCTCAGGTGGTGAGAACACGTGCTCCTAACAAGGTTGCCTGTTTGAGATGGTGGGCTCCGCCCGTCACAACTAAAGACTGAACTCGGCACCTTGGGCTGACCTGCTGCCCAAGTGGCTCAGGGGATAGAGCACTCACTCTTAACAACAAGGCTGCCAATTCGACTCCCACATGGGATGGTGGCTACACCCACCCACAACTAACAGAACACAGCACCTTGAGCTGAACGGCGTGACTGGACTTGGAGCTGAGCTTGCTGCGCCCTCCACAACTAAGACTGAAGCACAACTTGGCTGTTCCCCTTCCCCAATTCCCCAACACTGTTCCCCTCCCCCAATTCCCCAATAAAATCTTTTTTAAGAAAGAATTACCTTTAGTATCTCATCCAAAAGAACAGATTTAATTTCTAAATCCTCAAAGTTACAAATATATCCAGAAGTCTGAATGGGTTCCTTTAAAAACAAAAACAAATGTTATATTGAATTTTATAAAATTTTCCTTCCTTAACATATCATGATTTTAAATGTTATAATCAAAATTTTCAAACCAACAGAAAAGTAGAGAGAAGGCCATTAACACCCATATACCCATTATCCGAATAATTACTAAGATTTTGCTAAATACGCTTCAGTCAATGTTTGGCTGAGGTATTTTAAAGTAAATGAAGTAAATTTACAGACACGACATTTCACCCCTAAATATTTCAGTACATATACCTAAAAGCTAAAGACATTCTCTTACATGACCATTTTACTATTATCACACCGTACATAATCAATATTAATCCCCTAATAGCATCTAATATCAGCCTAAATTTTCCCAATTAATCCAAAAATGACTTCTACAGCTTGATCATTCTTATTCATGCAATTCAGCATTAAATATAATTCTTAACAAAACTGACAAAACACTATACTTGTATCTACCTACTTACAATATAGACATACGAATATCAAAGAAGCCCCATATCATGCTGAAAAGTCCATCCTCTGTAACATTAGCCAGGGAGCGCTCCTAATAGATTTTCTACATAAGATGATTTAATTTACCAATATGTAATATATGAGCCTGTAATATGTCTGTTATCCCAGTGTTACATAGGCTTGTAGAAATAAAGTATAGTAAATGAATATTATAATGTAAAGTAGCTGCCCTAAGACCCTAGCAGAAAAAAATTGGTATAAATATTACATAAACTAAAAGAAATAAACTCCCAATATGCTTACTACCTTCAAGAACACTGTAAAAAGAATAGGATAATGTTGTCTAATGATGAAAATAATACTAGAAATTAATTTTTAAAAATATGTGTATTTACAGGGCTGGCCAAGTGGCTCGCTTGGGAGCGCCAGCTCTGAGCAGCAGGGCTGCGGTTCGGATCCCACATTGAGGGCCAGTGACGCTGTGCCCTCTACAGCTAAGATGATGAACAACAGCTCGACCTGGAGCTGGGCTGCTGTGTGTGTAGGCTGCAGCGGGGCTGCAGTGGGCTGCCATGAGCTATATGAGTGGCTGGCAGCCAGTGTGAGCAGCCAGCAGCCGGTGTGAGCTGCCAGGAGCTGCTGTGAGCGGCCAACCAATGACTGGCGACAGATTGCCCCACCCGGGAAGAGCACAATGATCATACTAACATGGGCCAGTGAAGGGTTAGTTGACGTCCTCCACAACTAGACTGAAGAACAAAAAAACAGCAATTTGTCTACCTGTCTGTTTCCCTTCCCCGATTCCCCAACGCTGTTCCCCTCCCCCAAATTCCCCAATAAAATCTTTAAATATATATATATATATATATATGTGTACATACATATACCATAATGAAATAGAAAGTAACCAAAATCCAAATGAAATAACATACCGAATTTATAACTCTGAAAGTTAGTCCTTCATATACGACAGAAACTACAAAAATTATAATAATAGGAAGTTACCAAAAAGATGAAAATCAGAGGTAAAACTTTATTCGTATTTAGTTTGAATTTAGAATGTCTAACTTTAAGAATGAGGCTCTTGTATGCACATTATATGTGTGTACTGAGTTTTAAAATGTATACTTCTTTTAAAAAGTAGAAATTGTTGATTAAAATAGTCAAATTATATGAGAAAATTTATAAAATCCCTTATTTCCTCAAAAAAAAGCTGTATTACATAAAGGCAAATAATATGCTTTTGTGAGCAATAAACACACAGAAAGAATCAGAACAGAATTTAATTCAAAAGCAAAGTGTATTCCTTATAAGTTATAGGGACCTTTCATATACTTTGATTACTTTGATACTACAAGTAAACCAAGTATACCTGTATAAAAAATGTTTATCATTAAAAAAATATGTTTTGGGCTAGATAAAACACAAAGAAAGATATTTATTTTTATCAAAAAGCATTGAAAACTTTACTAATCTAGACGACACCAAGAAACACTGCTACTTCTAGAGTACACAAGTCAGATGGTCTCATGACACCCTTTACTGCCCATTCAGTTTTAGCACACTGTGACATACGGAAGTTTGTAAATACCTAATGAAATGGATTTGGGGATTACAGGATCTCATTTTAGCTAACTCGCAGAAACTGGACAAGTGTTTTAAAAAGCTTCCTGCAAAGAATCTGTGAATTAAATGTAATATTGATAATGCAAGCACAAACCAACAAGAAATGGCAGAACTCTCACCTCTCTTACTCCTAGCACAAATTCCTGAGTCAGCTACATTACATAGAGAAAACAAGAACATCCTAATCAGGTCTGGCAAAGTCAGCCAAAAATTCAAAATTATCAAGTCGACTATTTAAAACATGGGACTTGTATTTACGAAGTTAATAATTCCTCCCTTTAAAGTGTGAGCTATGCTGAGACACTAGCTAACGGCAGCATGAACCATAAACATTACCACGACATTTTAATATAAAAGTTTATTTTGCCCTGCCAAAATTTATTTTTTTCTCATTCTTTTAAAATTTCTAATTTAGGGACGTGATTCTTAATGTACTTATATCAATATGGTAGGTCACATGTATAATTTTGAATTTCCAAAACACAGCAGTTAACAGTTGGTCCAGAGAGCACTAGTGACAGGAAAATTCAGAGCCATGTGAGCAACAAACTGAAAATCAAAAATTCAACTTTAAAATTAGTGAGAAAGGGGCTTCCTGATACCCCAGCAAGTAGATTAATCACAGTCCACACTTGCCTATTCATAAGATTGTCAGGGTGAGAAAGAAGACGGATTAGTGGGTGACAGAGCGCCTGTAAAATAAGTAAGGCAAGGTCAGCGCAGAATATGGTGGGCAGGTAGGCAAGAGAACGAAAGGGCTAGCTACTTTCAAAACCACATCTTCTGGGTAGGTTGTTTTAAGCAATTCTGGTAAATAAGACTACTGATTTTCTTTCTTTTTTTTTAACTTTGACTAGGAGAAAAATAAAGACTGTCATTAGTGATCATGGCTCCACCTTTTAAGAACAGATAAAATGTTTAGGAAGTACCTTTCAGAGAAAGTAGAGAATATTTAAAGGATGAGTATTATTCCCACTTAAGACCAAATATTTTAAAACTCTACAGAAATGTGTCTATTCATTTTCAGAAATTTATGCATCCAACACCAATAAACCTCTAGAAGAAACAAAGGAGAAATATCCAGGGTTTGATATTTGGCTCATTATTTCTGTACTGTTAATGCCCATTTCTTGTTTTTTACCTCAGGATCCAAGTTTCTGAAAACGTACATTCTTGTCTTCTCCATCATTGCAAACAAATCAGGATTATCTTTAGCCCACTTCATATCCCAGACATCTTTTCGCTCCAGTTTTAACAACTCGCCAATAACTTGCTGTCCTGTGCTGTCTGTGACGCGAGCATCCAAGTCGAAGAAAGTTAGAACTCCTGAGATGTCTATGATAGCAAGACGACTACAAATAACGGAATTGAAGAAGGGGGGAAATCATAAAATTGCTATCAGCAAGCATGAATGCAATTACCTATAACCATTCTTCTTCAAAATCAGTTCATCAGACCTTGAGAAGAAGGTAGAAATGGTTTTAAATAAATAACGGGCTTTAAACAAATTTTTAAAAATTTGATACAAGACATGGTGTACTCTCCATTTATTCAGGAGGATTAAAGCAACAAGTATGCAAATAATTTAAAATATTACACTAGAATTTCTATATTTTGACCAGTTAGAGAAAGACATTTAAATCAAATATAGTATAGTAAATATAAATATTTAAATACAAATACAGTATAGTAAAACCACACTGACCTATAAGACAAGTTTAAAACAAACATACATCTTTGCATTTATTACATACATCCAACAATCCCAATTGATAACTTCTAAATCTGACATCTGCGTGAGGAGAGTTTTCAGACTTACCTGGAGTTGCAATTCAGGGATAACTGGCAGGCTCGACAATTAAGGGAATATTTTTGAATCAAACCAACATTAGGGAGGCTGTATCTCTGAATGGTGCCAGATTCACGACCCTATGAAAATTACTTTTGATTATTAAAGCAAATTTACTATAATATTAAATTACAACTACAAGTGTCTCTCTGCACGTTCATACATTTATTTCAAAACCAAAGCGATGACATCATAGTGAATTTCCAATTCGGATACTGAATCATGTTACTGAGAATATATTTATCTCCTAATTTAACTAAAACCTTTTAAACATGGCAAAAGGTGATCCAAATTTTTTTCATGTAACATTCAAAAAAGAAATCAGGAACCCAACTCTTTAATAATATACACTTTCCTACATCACAAGGAAGAAATATCTAGGGTTATTTATAGTTGCTGTCTAGGTTAATATTCAGGGTACATTAAAAGCTAAAATATAAAGCACTTACTGAATTAAACTTCATATATATGAAAAACGAATATAAGATCACCATATGAAACAGTTGCTACTGAAAGTCTATGTTTTTATCCTATAGCCATCTCGCTGATACGAGTTTGTGGCAAAGGGAGAAGATGATCAGAAAGCAGAGATACAGTATTAGTTTAAATGTGTTTAAAAATAAAATAGAATATAAGCTTCTATGTAACTCTGTGCAAGCCTTAAGGCGCACAGATCAACAGTTAGCACGGCAGACAGGAGAGGCCTGAGGTTCTCAAAGCCCTCTGTGCCTGGAGCCACGGCAAGGGCACAGAGCGGCAGGCTCCACTCAGCCAGCCAGTCTCCCCCTCTTGATGCAGCAGCACTGCTTTTGCAGGGAGGTTCTCCAGAGGGGCTTATCAGAAAGGCTGGGAAAGGCCGGGGTGGGGGAAGGATATTTTTTAATGTATAAAAGGAACATATGGACTTTAAAAGAGTCAATATATTGGGGTATAAAATAAGATATTGTTTTTGAAAAAGGGGGTCCTGTGGCTTAAAAAGTTTGAAAAAGTAGTGATTCTAAAAACTGTTCACAATTCAACCGTGGAAAGCAGCTTTAAATGTAGAAGATATATTCTCCATTAAAACTCTTGGCTGGTATTAAAACTGTGTGAGTGCCTTTCTTACAGTGAGACTCTGTCACTTAGGAATTAAGTCAATTTTTGTGATTGATCTGAGTTGCATGTTATTTTTTTCTGCAAATGTCAGAAACACAACAACAACACTGCCATATAGCAACAATCTCAAAAGATTCCACAGACCTGACTAAGACAAACTGCTTAAAACATACGCCATGTTCATTTGGTGAGGAAAAATGAAGACTATGTTCTTATGATTCTTTTCCCCTTAAATTAGTTCATGGCTAAAGAACGAAACTAGAACTGGAAATATACACTATTAAGGCTCTGTTTACTTAATTCAAATTCAGTGACTCTACTGGCATTACTATATTATACATTTATCTCTAAAATCAGTATTTTCAAATGTCAAAACTCAAGAAAAGACACTATTAACACTGATTTTATTTGAAAAACTCAGCAAAATTTGCCATGTACTTCTTTATTTTACTGGCCAGCAAACACACCACCTCTCCATTCTAATTCTTATGCAAGTAGCTGAGCCAAAGCACTTTCTCCAATATGAAAAAGCACGCCACATGGACAATGAAACTGTCTAAGACCTAATACTACCCCCATCCAGTCCAGCCCACCAGGGCTCATTCAACCCAGTGTCAAACTCTCCCTTGTTCTACTGCTTGTATAAACAGCCGTTTTTGCAAATGATTAACAATTTGTGAGACAATATTTGAAACTTTTATTTCTTATGTTAGACTTAGTAAAACAAGATGATATTCAAATCCAAAACACATTATTTTACTCAATTTTTACAATTTAAACAATTATTATTCATAACAAAAATTTTTTTTACAACTTACCACAATCAATGTCTTATCAGATGCAGTTATGGCACAAATTGGATCCCTTGTGCCCTAAAATAAATCAATTGTTCTTTAACAAACATTTATTGAATGACTAATCTGGTATAAGGTAGTATGCAATTCACTAAGAATACTTCAACAATACAATTATTAACATTTATTTACTGAGCACCTACTATATGCCAGACATCCAACGATCCACTGGAGAGACTTGGAAGAAATCTTTACCCTCAGGGATTACTCAAAAGTCTACTGGGAAAGACAGTGGGCAGAACACCTAACTGCAGTACAGTATGATGAAAGGAGTTATGCAAAAAGAGTTATGAGAACACAGAGGAAGGAGCATCTAACTCATACCGAAATGGGCAGAGAGGCAAAACCCTGAGGTTAGTGGTAGAAGATAAACAGACAGAAGGACCAGCACATGCCAAAATGGGGAAGGAAGAGATGACATGGTGCTGCCACCCCCTGGGTGGATCTCAAGAGCTTATGCTTAGTGAAAAGAAGCCAACCTTAAAAGGTCAAGTGCTATAGGATTCCATTCATAAAAGCATTCTCAGAGTGACAAAACTCTAAGGTGGAAACAGATTAGTGGTTGCCAGGGATGGGGGTGGAGGGTGGGTGTGAAAATTAAGAAGTAGCACCAGGCAAGTTCCTTTATGGTGACAAAAATCACATAAAACTACACACATACATACACGTGAAAACAATAAGGAATCGGGTCATAGTTTAACAGTATCACTATCAATGTCAATTTCCCAATTTTGATATTACACAAATTATACAAAATGTCACCACTGAGGGAATCTGGGTAAAGATGTTCTATGTGCTAGTTTTGCAACTTTCTGTGAGCCTACGATTGTTTCAAAATAAAATGTTTTTAAAAATCGAAAGAAGAAAAAATAGCAAATCTAGAAAAAGGTTTTCAGAATACAAAAATTTTAAAAGAATTACTAGAATAATATGCTATCACCGGAAACAAATTTTTTGTCAGGTCTCAAAATACTAAAATTACAGTATTTCCAAATCTATAGGTATTAACATTTGCTGGCGATAATAAAATCACCTACTTGAATAGCTTTACTATAATCAAGCACCCCATCCACTGATCCAGAAGGAGTATCATCAACATGATAAATTCTGGGGGGAAAAAAAATCAGAATTTCAAAGATAGTGTAAAGGTTCTACTATTTCATAATCTCTAGAACAGCTAAAGGATTGTATGACACCAATGAATATTGTTATTTAACATAAATGTCCTTATTATTTTAAAGAGTTCTTGACAAAGCTCAATCTTATAAAGGTAGAAACTAACTACCAGGCATTTACTAGTTATACAAGTGATATGTTCATGAAGCTGTGCCAAAAATATAATCGAACATTGAATCACATAGTTCCAATGGATTTCATTAAGTCCCCAGAGATATCTTACCTTACTCTCCAAATGAACGCCACAGGAGTAACTTCTGATACACTAAGTTCCTCTACTGTTTCTCCATAACTTCCCTTCCATCAATGTGCTTAATAAAGGTAAGATTTAAATGTACTGGGAAGCTCTAATTCATGGAATTTTTGTTGTGAAGTAAAAATCCTGCCCCAAAGCTTCCCTACAGTGTTCCTGAAATGCTCCACTTTTGGGTCTCCACCACTCTCTGACACTTCTACTGTAATGCTGCTCACGCCACAGTATCACTGCCAGTTTACTTGTGTCTCCCACTGAGATGGTGAGTCTCCTGGAGACAAGCACTCAGTGTCTCCCACTGAGTGTGTACGTAGCACAGTGCCACACACTGTCAGTTGCTTTATAACGTCTGCTGAAAAAATATTAAAATGAATGGAGGTCAACTGAGTAGATACATCATAGAACAGCTTTGAGGGCAAGTCACTTAACTTCTCTGAGCCTCCATTTCTCCATCTGGAAAACAAGGATGGTGATTCCCCCTTTACAGGATTTTTGAGAGGTATAAATAAAATCGCGTTTGTAAAGCGCATACACACTGAGCCTGACACAGAAAAAGGGACCAAGAAGTTGTTGCTGTAATATAATCATAGGACAATCAAGCCGTTTTCCATCTTTAAAATGTTAATGAAATTTTATCATTGTTAAATTGAAATCATAATTGTGCTTTCATCAATGTAACAAGATCAAAAGTTAAATAAACTTAATAGAAATACATTCTGGGGGCAACCCAGTCGGGAACCCCTCTTGTTCTGAGAGCTGTTACTTTCTAGCCTAATAAACTATCCTCTGCTGTAAACTTAAAAAAAAAAAAAAGAGATACCTTCAGTACATAAAGGTGTACCAATTGAGAGGTACCATGTTTCTGCATTTTAGTACATCTCTATTAAGTATATACAATTACTATTTCTACTTAGTTATCACAAAATAAAAGTCAAAGGCTATAACAGGTCTCTCAAGAGATCATTGACTCACCTCCCTGTCTTAAAACAAGTAGGGTACTATAAGAAAGGTCAGTCTATGTAGTTCAGAGCCAGATAAACTGGTTTTATGTCCCATCTCTACCAGTCAGCACATGACCTTTGGCAAATAATTTAAGCTTGTGTATCTCAGTCTCGTCTCTGTGAAACAGGAATAATAGGAGAATTGACTAGACTTAGTATAGTGTCTGGCAATAAGAACTAATCAGTATTGGCCGTTATCATCAACTGTATTTTACAGATAAGGAAACTGAGGTCCAGAAAGAAGTAGCACCAAGTCATTAAAACTGGTAAATATATCCCAGATAGAAATATAAGGAAATGACGCCATCTTTATTTAAACAAAAGCCAGGATCTCTTCAGCTGGCTCATGGAGGACACTCACTCTATGGAGAGGCTAGACTTTTCTACCCCAACTCTGTCCTAAGATCCACCTTCTCCCCGCAAACGGCAGGTCTCTTATTGTTGCTGCCACTGCCACATACTGTCCTCAAACAGGCCAAAGATTCTTCCTGCTGAGTCTTTCAGAAATAGCCAGACGACAAGATATAGTATTTTCCCGCTGTTTTTTTCTGCTTCCACGTGAACTCACATATCCAGAATACTTTTACTGGGGACACAGCTCCTATGTTAGTATATGAGTGAGTCTTAAAGGGAAGGGAAGATTGCATTAAGATTCAAGTTATGTGTGAAGATGATTTGAGAAAGTAACCTGGGATTTCTGACATGTCTGCCCACTTGCCCACCCCACCAACAGAGGGCTATTAAAAACCATTAGGTTAAAACATTCAACAACATGCTTTACTTAAAGGCTTAGGATAACAACAAAAGGGAAACATACACAGAGTATCACTAAAAGAGACAGTAGAACTTACAAAACACAGCAAATGCATTTGCCCCTTGATACTTATTCTAGAGAATCCCTCCATCCTGGCTCCTAACTTCTCTGTGTGGTAGAGCCCTCTTACCCCAGTTATCAGACACTGTTCCAAACCTAGACTCCCTGGAATCCAGGGTAAGAGAAAGAGCCCAAGAGGCCAGGTTGCCCTACCTAAGACCTCCTCAGTGTCTAAGGACCTGCCTCTCCTGTGGTGACCAATGCTAGAATCCCCACCACCAGCCTCCTGGAAAGACCTGCCACTCACACATAGGAATGAAGACATTCAGACCTCAGTTGAATAGTAACATTTCAGTAGAGCATTATAACTATAATATGGTGAAAGTAGATGAGTGAGAATAGCCATTGCCTTATAAAAACATAGATTTCCAGTCTTTATCTCTAAGGCCTTTCTTTTATTATACCATGCTTACCTCCTCTCTTTTATTTTGATAAATTTAAACAGATACATTTGAAAGATATTCAAATGAATGGGAAAATATTATTTCTATTAAAACAATTTAAGGTTCTCAAGCATGACAGCTTACAATTAACTATGTCTGATTTAAATGTGATATGGTTGACCTTCTAAAAAATATACATCAAAAGATATACCTTTCTCTCCCTTCTTTTCGAGACCGTGTGATCTGATTAATTTCCAACGCGGTAAGCTTCTTTGCCACACGATATTGCCAGGTATAAAATGCTTCTTTTGAAGCTGCTATCACATGAGTTTTGTTCATTGCAACAAATAATGGTACTATTAAAAAGAAAATAAAGACAATTAGGTTACAGTTACACAGAATCAGAGAACGTTTGTGCTGCAAAAGGACTTCAGTGATCACTGAGTCCAACTTCTCATTTTACAGACAGTATACCCCACACAGTTTGGGAAATCAGATAAGAGTCAAAAGCTTGAAGAACCACACAAAAAATACTAACTCAAAATAGGTCAAAGACCTAACTATAGAACAGTTAGAAGAAAATGTATAAGTAAATCTTTGTGATTTTGAGTTAGGCAATGGTTTCTTAAATATGACACCAAAGCACAAGCAACAAAAGTAGATAAATTGGACTTCATCAAAATTAAAAGCATTCGTGCATTAAAAACATGAGTTGCTTCAAAGAATACCATCAAAAAAGTGAAAAGGGAGCCACAAAAGGGAGCATATACATGATAAGGAACTGTATACAGCATATGTAAAGAACTCGTAAAGCTCAAAAAGGCAAATAGTCCAGTCGAAAAATGGGCAAAGGATCTGAACAGAAATTTCTACCATGAAGATATACAAATGACCAGTAAGCAAATGAAAAGATGTTCAACATCATTAGCCATGAGGCAAATGCAAATCAAAACCACAATGAGCTACCACTTCACACCCACTACATGGCTAAAATCAGGGAGTCAGACAACACCCGAGTATCGGCAAGGTGTGGAGAAATGGTGGGGATGTGGGGTGGTGCACACACCTTGAAAACCAGCTGAGCAGTTCCTCAAAACGGTAAATATAACATTATATACTCATATACCCCAGTAATTCCACTCTTAGTACATACCCAAGAGAAATGAAAACACAAGTCCACACAAAAACTCATATATGAATGTTGATAACAGCATTATTCATAAAAGCCAAAAAGTAGAAATAGCCCAAATGTCCACTGAGGAATGGATAAATAAAATCCCATTCTTTTCTCCCATCCCCACTACCAATACTGCTTGGTTCAGGTATTTATCCTTCCCTCTGATCTCATATGTTTTACATTTCCTCATTTATTTAGAAAATAAAATTATCCAAAGTTCCTTCCTACTTTAGGAATATAATTCTCCTAAACATATAACTTTTTTTCTTCTGTTCTGTTTCTTAGAGAAAATTTAATTAAGCTCCTACTGTGTACCCTTTGAAAAAACAGACAAGTCTCATCAAATCCCTTTTACAGGTAAAGAAACAGAATTAAAGAAGTAAAATGAGTTGTCCAAAGTCACAAACTACATAAACAACATAAAATTAAGCAAATTCACACAAAATATATAAAAACAAAAACTTCACCAAAGATCATTTTGGTACCTAATTTCTAAACTTATGGTTAAAATGGTGCAAAACTTATTATTCTATTCATAAATATTTTGCAAAGTCACCATTTATATATATGGCCAGAATAAACGAACGGTGTTAACAGCAGCTACTGTGTATGGCGTTCTTGCCACAGGTCAAAGAAAGGACATTTAAGGCAGTCAAGAGACTTAGAAACTGAACAAAGGATTAGAAACTAGACTGAGGGTATGATGTTAATCAAATAGATTAACAACTTGGGAATTGAAATTCAAGGATTTTTATATACTAAATAACTCGGTATAGTTGAATCATATTTAAAAAATTTTTTCATTACAATCGTCAAGATTTTTCTATTCAAAACGTGTACTATTACCAAACTCTAGAGGGAGCCAGCAGCCTTTCCCATGTGGAACAAGCCTTGACCGGGAGCCCAGGAGAACGTGGCACAGCCTGCGGGAGCGCTGAGCTAGCGCATCAGCGCGCCAGGCCAGGGCTTTGGTCAGCTTTCCCTGACTCCATCGTCACGAAATCATATGACATTTGCTAAATAGTCAGTTCTATCACGGAGACTCTGATGATAGTAACGATTATGAGTTCAGTGGGATGCGAAGTTCACAAACCATAACTGCATTCCAACAAAATATTTTTCCTAAGTGTATAAAAGCATTTTTCTAATCACTGTCTACCTACAATTATAAATTATACTCATGTCCCTTTCTTTTGATACATCCTAAATAATCACAAGAGTTTGTCATTAGCCCGATTAACGCAGAATGAAAATGTTAGTGGTTCACAGTACAAGTCAGATTTCTTGGATTCAAATCACACAGTTGGGCATTTGCTAACTCTGTGGCCTTATTCTCTCTGAATCTTAGTTTACTTACTATAAATTGAAGATGATAATAATAATAATAATAATTACAACCTTATAGAGCTGCTTTAAAGATTAACAGAAAGAAATACAAAGCATAATACAGTGCCTGGCATAGAATAAATGCTTACTAATAATAATTTTAAAAGTCAATGTTTATTGAATTTTTAAAAATTATGTCAAGCATATACGTATTTTAATATAATTCTATTAATTATAATTAGTTATAATATATAACACATAATCATATTAATATATTATATATACTAACTCACAACCACCCTAACCCTGTAAGGTAGACATTATTATTATCCCCTCTCAGCAGATGAAGGACCTGAGGATGGAATGCTTAGAGAACTCGCTGAAGTTGCACAGCTGGAAAGCAGTAGAAACTGAGACACCAGCCAGTTAATCTGGCTCCGGAACCTTTGCCCTTAACCACGAGGGCATGCTGCCTCTCATTAAGGGTTAGTAAATGGTAGGTGTGTTGCTGTTATTGTTTATACTTGTATTACCTACATAGGTTTTTATGATACAGACCCACTAGGCAATACAAAACACAAGTACAAATATATCTGACACCTGTGCTTCTGAATCAATACGGCAGTCATTTCAGCACATTCATGTGGGTAGCTAACCCCTATCTACATAAATTATGCTAGAGCTTCATTGAAAGATCCATCTCGTCCAGGTAGATTAGTTCTTGGTTTCCTAAGACTAAGCCTGCAGGGAAAAGTTAGAAAACCAAATTTACAATCAGGATAAAAGCACTCCATGTCCTTCTCAACTATTCAATATCTGGAAAGAGAAACTCAAAATGTCCAGAAAGATTACTGGAAAAAAAATTTAAGAAAGTAATTATGCTTTCATTAATTGAACTTTATAACACTAATAAATAGTAGTCCCTAGCCAAGCAAGGATGTGAAATAATTTTGAACCACCTATGAATTCACATAGAAGTAAAGCCTGCTTGTAATATTTAAATGCTGAGGCCTGAAATAAATGTCTACATCTAATGTTCCCTGCTTTCCCACTTACTCATTTCTCAGACCTTTAAAGAGCTGGTAAACTGAAGTTGCACTGAAATGTTTTCATCAATATACCTCTCTCTGGAGTACGGGAAGACGCACAGCGTGTGTCAGAGACCATCGCTAGGAAGGCTCCCACAGGCTCCCACCAAAACGGCTACAGCACAGGCGCTTTACAGGTCTTGTTCCTCTGCAAATGCTGTTTTCTCTCCTTAAATGTCGCCTAGAGAAATACTTATCCTCCAAAACTCAGCTCAGATGAAACCTTCTCTTAGTAGAAAAGATGTCCCTAACATCCTGATGCACCAATATCCATTTATCTAGCACCTAGCACTAAAATAGCTAGCATACAGTAGGGAAGCAATAGTCATTGTTCAATGGGTTAACTATACTTTAATTATCTGTTTAGACATCCTACAGGAAATGTCCTAATTCATTCCTTATCACTCCCGGTACCCAGTATAGTATCTGAAATAGTATGTGCTCATTGATGATTTGCTAAATAAATGAATTCTATTTTCATAGATTCAATAAAAATTTGTTATGGGACAAGCACAGTGTTAGGCAGTGAGCATCCAGAAATGAATAAGATATAGATTTTTAAGAAGCTCAAAGTCTTGAGGGGGAAGATACACAAGAAAATCAATAATCACAATGCAGAGTTAAGCACTTTGAATAAAAACATACCAAAAGTATTTTGAGGGCTCAAAACAAGAACACCGAAAAGGGTACCTAACTTCTACGCATGGCGTACAAGAGAGTCCCAGAAAGTAAACTTCTATAATAATGCATAAAGTTATTTTTTAAAGTTTCTATAGAGATTGTCAGGAGGAAGAGTGACAAAAATAATTACACTTTCCAGAACAATATCAGTTACATACTTTTTCTGCTTTAGCCTCTAGTCCTCATGAAAACTTGGCAAAGAAACTTTAAAAAAGGAATTTTACAGGATATGTATGAAACAAAAATGTTGAGTCTTGGCTGAATTTACTGCAGACCAATGAAAGAACTGTTTGTTAAAATTTCAGCCAGCGAGACTGCAAAAAAGTTTCAAGACTAAAAATACAAATAATCATGCCCTCAAGCATTTGCCATTTTATGAAGGTGAAGGGCTTACATCTGGCTTTATTCAAAAATGGACTACCTGCAATCAAAAGTACTTTGAGGCTAACCCTATCTCACGATGATTCTATGTTAAAATGTGATATTAAAAGAAAAAGCATACAATCTGAAGATTAACAGAATTTATCCCTTAGACTGTTATGTTTCTCATAAATAGAAAATATACATGTGACAAGTCTGTAATAATTTTAAGCTAATCCTTTTAACACGAATCTATATGTATATGTTCATATACATAAAAACATATAAATAAGCCTATGTAACAATGAACATAAGGCATGAAGTTGAAAAGTTTCAAGATCTAAAAGTAAGTTACCAAGGCCCTAAATATAAACTATAAAATCGCTGAAGCCAGTAAACATTTCTCACAGTTGCTTATATTACCCAAAGGGCTTAGCAAAATAAAACACTTAGAAGGTAGGCATTAATATTTGACTGTTAAGGCTAAATGTAAAACCTGAAAAAAAAAAAAAAGAGTAGTTCTCAGATTCAGAAAATAAATCAATGGGTTTTCAATTTTTGAAATCTCATAATTTTTCTAATACCATATCCAATAAACTACCATATGCTTTAAAAGAAAACCATTACTTTTGGAAGTTACAGAGAAATGGCAACAAAATATTTGGTAATAGTTTTTAACAAAATCGAATAAGATTTGAATTTTTTAATGGTCATTTTCATAGCTACTGGATACAGGGAATGGTAACTCTAAAGTAACAAATGTCTTCTGAAAACAAAAAGTCAGGAATTTTTTAAGGCTATCCCTATTAATAGACTGATTTCATTAGAAAATTCTGGAAAGGGCAAACTCACTTTTACAAGCAGCTAAAGTGTTTTTTATGGAAGAGTGGTATTTACAAGCAGTTTATTAATAATAAAAGTGGCTTAAGGGCAAAATTCTTTCTATAATCCTCATTTTATTACATGCTAATCATTACACTGCATACCAATTCCTATACAATTATATTTCCCATTTTATAAATGATGGAAGTATAGCAGTTGTGAGATTATTATGGATTTTAGCAAGCATAACCTTGTAATTGATTGCATTAACCAGAATACTTCTGGTTAATACAGTGAAGTGGAGCATTAATAATCGTACCATGACAACAACATAAAGTAGACCTGGAAAACCAGGATGTAGCTCATCCTTGTTTTGGAGAATACCACTCTAATTAATAACACCACTGTTAGGTTTTTCCATTAGTTTTACAAATAAAACTTGATTAAAGAGGGAATAAATATTAACATTTCCTTACCAATATCAATGTATTTGGGATCCAAGGGTGTGCCAATAGAATTACAAAGAACTAGCACAAACTGTGAACAAATAAAACAAAAAGTATCAGAACTCCTGCTTATGTGCAATAAAAGAAACGCCTAATGTATCATGCTTATCTCTTTTTCAAGTATCACTAACAAATGATTGATAAAATTAAGTCAAACAATAACAGTTAATATAATCTATGCATTAAAAATAAAGAAATATGAATTAAAATTAAAACCAGGGCTGATTTCTCAATAATGAAACAGTGTGGTTTTTAGAGGCCACTTAAGAAACGTAAATACACTGGCTACTTTTCAATATTTATAGTTCTACAGCTCCTGATCATCTAGAACTCAAAACTCATTTTTATCCTATAATCATCTAAGTAAGAGCTTATTTAAGTTGTTACCGTTGCACCAAATGTGTCCATCTCATTTTCCTCCTTTGAAGCATGACATGAGAAATTCAGAAAAATTCAGTTAACTCAGAAAAAAACACAATCCAACCTAATGAAAATAACTTAAATGCCCATTGGTCAACACATACACCAATAATTATCAACTAATACTAGAAAAAGTCATCAAGCATAGTGCATACTTTATATCACATTGTTCTAAAGTGATCGTTTCATTTTTCTTACTGTTAGTCACCTTTTCTATGTCTTGTACTAAGAATACTATTTTACTGAGATGCTGTCCTGATTACAATAATGACTTCAAATTAGTCAATTCTCTATGAGCTATTACACACAGACTTTGTGTTATTTTTTACAGCATTTCAAGAAAAATGTTTAATTTCATAAATATAGTCTAAATGACAATTATACTAAGATATCATCATTTAGTCTCCCGCTACTTAAAATAAGCTTACTGCCACAAAATACGAGTAATTTGTATTTTTTTATTTACTTATTTACATGCTCGTAGTTTACAGAATCAAATAATTCCATGAGACTTCTTATTAAAAATACAAGTCTCCCGGGCCGGCCGAGTGGCGCGATGGTTAAGAACTCGCTTGGGATGCCAGAGGGCCCCGGTTCGGATCCCACATGAGGGCCAGTGACACTGC